CCCTACCTATGCACCTCACGATAATAGGAAATGGTTACACTTTTAAAAATGGGATGTGTCACTAACAACATAATGAAGTCTGAACATGGATTTTCTGATATCATTTCCACTTTTGGTAGGTGACTGGCAGATGTACGGTTTTAAATTTGATCTGGGGGTGTTGCAATCAAGAACGCATTACCCAGAATAAAGGAGTACACTGAATTAAACTCAAATGGTAATACAAGAAGAATTTACTTGGCGAACCCTTATTTGGGGAGAATAAAAAGAGATGAAACTGAGCATTCAATGGACAGGCAAAAGAGGAAATTGTAGCATCAAATGAGGGCCTTTTCTCAAAACAGAAGTACAGCTGAAGAGTTAAACTTTATTCAAGGTTCAACCCAAGAGGAGCCCTATGTTTCTCTTTGCAAAACAATGGCTGGTTCTCAAACTTGGCTGCACAGTGGAGACACCTCAGGAGCCATGAAAGCTTCTGAGACCTGGGCCACACTCCCAGATTCTGACCCGTTAGTCTGGGGTGCACCCTGGAGTTTTCACACCTCCTCAGGTGGTTCTAATGTGCAGGGGTACTGTCGGTTTCATACTGGATGGGATAGGAGGGGAAAAGAGGGGTATTATTTATTAAACTCCTTCAAACACCATCCGAAAGAAAAAACTTTCAAGAACACAGACTCCTTCAGGTTACATTTTTAACTTGTCAGTCGTAAGGCCTTCACTTTTGTCTCTCTCTCTTTTTTTTTAAGCTCCTTCTGGGAAGTGGAAAGCTGCAGAGGGTGGCAATGATTCCTACCTTCCAATCTCCTTGCAGACTCAATCACCCAATGGGCCAGCTGCACTTGCTAAAATGTCAGTGAACTATAAACTAAAGCAGTTCTTATAAGAAAAGAGACCAGAGAAATTTCTGCTTACAAAATTTCTCACTCCCAGAAGCTTACATTTATTTTTAATTTTTTTGAATTTTATTTTATTTTTTATACAGCAGGTTCTTATTAGTTATCTATTTTATACATATTAGTGTATATATGTCAATCCCAATCTCCCAATTCATCCAGAAGCCTACATTTTTATATTCTCCATCTGAGAGTAGATGGCAATGACTGGAGTACAGACACCTTAAAAGGATCCTTGCTGAGTCCCGGCAGAGGGTGAAGGCCCATATGTACACAGCAGTGGTGGTATGTCTCTGTCTGATTCAGATTTCAGGCAGAGGTGAGAGACTTCCCTTTGAAGGTCAGAATCTCTGGAGTTACAAAACGTGGGTGATGTCATTCTGGCCCTACTGCCATAACTTATCGTGCTGCTCGTTGGCTGGGAAGGGCAGAGCTTACTATTCCTTCAGAAGTGAGGTGATCCCCTTTCCCATCTGTGCAGACCTGGAGGATCTGGTCACCCCAGCAACATACCTGATATCGTCACGAGGACATTCAGTCCCTCGAGCACATCCATCTGCTGAAATCGCCTCCGGTTGATCAGATTATAAACTTTGCCTTGCCCGCTTCGGTCCAAAAGCATCAGGCCATTTTCAGTTCCCACCAGGAGGTTTACACCTGCAAATTTAAGAAGCATCCCAAGACTGACTCTTACGGACTTTACTCTTCTGCATCCAGGGTCCCTTTAAAACCTAAGAAGCTGTGACTTGTAAATATAAACTAATGGGCAAAAGCAGGTACTACAGCAGGGAGTGTAGAAGCAATGGCTCTGAGACAGTAATGAAATCACTGCCCCTCTGGTAATGAAATTAGTTTTCTTTTATAAAGTAGCAGCAGCATTCATTACATGTAGCCCTTTACTACCTGAAATAGAGTTCTTCTAAGAGGAGCCCGAGGCACAGATGTGATGCTAGCACAATCTGCCTTTATTCCTTTCCTGTAACACCCACCCTTTTCTTGGCTCTCTCTATAAATCATACCTCGAGACTTCCCCAAGGTTCACCCCACTCCTATTCACGCAGTGATTTCTAGCCTACCCACCTTCCACATATAATAGAGTGCCCCATTCCCATACTCTGTTGGAAGAAAAGCCCTTTGTCCTTCTCACACCAAAGCTTAATTTACATCCCATACCTTAAGGTTCTGCTCTTTGTTAGGGAAATGATAAGCCAATTCAAGCGCAGGAATTAATAGCCCAAGAGTCACAGAAATATTGACTGTAAGGCAGGGGTCCCCAATTTCCCGCCCCCCCCCCACCCCGCCGTCCGTGGAAAAATTGTCTTCCACGAAACCGGTCCCTGGTGCCAGAAAGGTTGCGGACCGCTGCTGTAAGGGACTTCTCAGGCATCTAACTCTAGTCCAGCCCACCTCCCATGCAGTAATTCCTATTACAAAAACTCTGGCAGGTAAGTGGTCTTGCCTGGATAGCTACAATCTTGAAAATTCATCTCTAGGCAAATAAACACCCCTGACTCCCAACATACACACAGACACGTGCACACACTGTGAGTTCCGCCGTGCAATGGCCTGTATTTAGGAACGGGTAACTTTTCCACTTCTTTTGCTTACTGCACATCTGTCTTCTAAGTAACGTGAATGTCTGCTCTTTCAACCACACGTTAGTCGATATGAAACACGGTTATCTTGTTGTCTTCTAATGGTCTCTTCTCCAGAGGACAGAGCCTTACTTCCCTGAAATGGTTTCCAGGCTCTGTGCTCATCCCTGCTAACAACTCAAATGCTTTTGCCCTTATAAAATTGTGGTGCTTCAAACTAGGTGTAGTATTTTAGATGGGTGCAGATGAGCCATGTCCTTCCTTGATCTGTATGTCATGTTTATGGTAACATAGACCACGATTTTGACAGAATCTCATCACACCTATACTGAGTCTGAGGTCAGCTAAAATCTGCAGATCTTTTTCACAAGAACTGCAGGTTGATGTTTCGAACTAAAAGGGAAGGCTCATCATTTGTTGTCCTTTTCAAGTTTTATCTTGCTACTACTACTGGTATGGCCTTTGGCAATTCACTAAAATATTCTGTGCAGCTTTTTCAACTGTCACATGAAGGTCACGCCATTATTGCCCTTGCAGAATGTTGTATGGATCACAGAGACAGGACGTGGGGCACATCACACAGTGCTGGGCACAGAGTGGGCGTATATTAAGTGGTAGTTAGTTCCGTTGTTGGCTTTAGCCCATCACTGTTATGTGACAAGGTCACTCTGAATCTCATTGCTATCCTGGGTACGAGTTCTTTCTAAATATAAAATTGCTCTTGGTCTCTCTTGAGGCCGAGACAGTCCCAAATCGGGTCTCTGACACCCATGATTCAATCAGCACTCTTCTGATAGTAAGATTCCTGTTTGAGGGTCAATTCATTAATGAATGGTAAAAAAGCACCAACTTACCCCACAGAGCTGCACAAAGTATTTCTGAGTTGAATCGCTTCTTGTATTTTCTGATTTCTGGTGTGTCGCTATGAGGCCGAATGTTGGTTGGGTTTACGTTTACCACTGAAATCTTTCTTGCTTCATTTAGTTTGGCCTGTTCTTGCCTAAGAAGTTCGCTAGTAAACAGAGCTTTGAGAAAAAGAATCAGAGAAGTCAGTGGCATCTTAAAATATAACAAATGGAGATATGGAAAAGGGGCTTCAAATAACTATGATTTCTCCTTGTTTAGTGTGCATTATGATAAAGGCAAAGAAACACTGAAACTATAAATATTTTACACTTTTTTCGTAGAATAAAGTATGTCATTCACAAAAGCAGTGTTTTATCCGTTAGTAAAACAGGCTTATAGACACTACTTGAGTAGTTTAGGGAATTAATATTCATCTCATAAAATTAAACACACCATCCTCATCTCCTGTAATATATGCAGGACAGATTAACTTTTTGAAATTCCACATTATCAACTGACAAACTGGCCTAAGTTGAGTCTGATGATTAGTGAGTTGCAGAATTCTAGAAAGCAAGACTGTCCTCTAAATCAGCCAGACTTTTGAAGTGGGAAGCACACACCTAGAACTCAACACAACTCAACACGCATTTATTTTGTCTACTGCGTGCACAGCACTGTACCCAGAAATTGCTTCTGAGAAATATGTGGTGAGTTTGGAGATCTGTGAGGAACAGCTTTTCCTAGGGCCCCTGGATACCTCTGGGTTCCTACCAGAATCAAAATAGAAGAGATGAAAAAAAATAGAAAGAACTCTGTTTGAGGAATCCTATTAAAAAAAAAAGTAATAAAAAGTCTTCCCTTTAAGACAGGGCCTAAGCAGTGAATGGCTTAACTATTGAACTAATAATTAATTTTTTATCAGGTCATATCAGAAAGGAAAACCAAGCTGTTTCTAAAACATCGGGGCCTTCTAGCTTACCGGCAGCTGACGTTTCCTCGTCCTCTTCATCTGCATCAGTGGGAGACGTCTGGTACACTCTGGGGTCCACAAAGGGGGTGAAGGAGGCTTTGGTGCTGCTTCCCATGCCATACTAATCAATAAGTAAGAAGATTAAGAAGAGCAGATAGATAAATACTGTAGCAACAAACGACGCTAATAATACTTTGCTTGGGCTTTAAAATTATTAGAGGCTCTTCAAACCATCCAACTGTTCACACTCTGACCCCCAAGTCAGAGTGTGTGCTTCTCTCTGCAGCTTCTACTGATACTGGTTCCTCACTAACCGTTACGTCTTTGCAGGGTTTCATTAATCATCAGACTGCAAGAATTGTAGTGAGCAAATTATATTATGGACCATATGTAGCACCTTCATATCTGATAAGATGGCTGTAGTGACAGAGCCTATTTCTCCCTTGAAGTCAAAGCAATCTCCTACTGACCAAATGGTTTTAAGAAAAGCTGACACAAATTGGCAGTAAACTAAGTAAGGATAGCAACACAGCAGCACTTCATCCTGAACACATGATCAACCAAAGACTCCCTCTTGGGGCCTTCCATGCTGGCCTGGTGATGCAGGTGGATTGGTGTTGGCTCAAGAAGCCTTAAAATCTGCAATTCAGGGACAATTTCATCCAGGGAATGAAGATTTTTCCTTTCCATGATAGTTTCCTTAAAAGGATACTTATATGCCCTATGTGGGAACTTCATGAAGATACTAGGTTTGCAGGCAGTACACCTTAAGGGCTTACCTAAAAAATAATCTCAAGGGCTTAGAGAGCACAATTAAGATATGAAGTCAGAACTAAACTAGGGAACAGGAAACTATCAAGGCTTCATGTCCCAATATTCCGTTTTTGAGTTTTGTCAAAGGAGCTTCAATAACCATCTCCCAATTTTGTCTGTCATGTCCACTCCTACTTACACTCAAGTCCTTTTAATATTATAAACAGATCTGCACTCAGTATAAGAAGCATCTTTTGGGGGGATAAATGTCCTTTAAGTTTTAATTTTTTTAGTCTTTTTTTCAGGTTTTTATTTAAAAATAAAACCAGTATCCCAAGACCCCTAAACACATAAGGAGAAAACCACAAAGGCCCAATCTGACTTTAATGCAAGATTTCCCCTTCACGTTATGAAATCAAAACCATTTCATCCTCCATAAGGTAGGACCACCCCTCCCAAACAGAGCACTTTCACAGACATTCTCTCCTTTGATCTTTAGAAGTCTATGAAGGAGGTGTGCAAGTATTGGCATTCCCACTTAGAGCTAGGGAAGCAGCAGAATGTAGAGTAGGGTCTGACCGCAGAGTCCTCCTTGGTACCCAAAGTCAGGCAGAAAACAACTGTCCACAGTGCATGAAGCTATAACAGTGCTCCACGTTCTTTTCCTTGAGGCAAAGTTCACCTGCTCTATAGCTTTAGAATCCAAATGCTGCATCATAAAAACTCAGTGCATGGACAACCTCAAACACAGCGTTATAAACTCTATGCATTATAAACACATGTAGGGTCTATGTGTGATTCAAAGGACTATTCATGAAACATGACCAAGCACTGTGATCTCATCTGACTGGTCAAGCGCGGTCAACGACATCTACAAGCACTTCCAGGCAGATTGTTTATTCTGGCTTTTCTTCCCCAGACTCTTTTCTGTGTAGGAAAGATAATATCCCACTTCTCCCTTTCTTGTGCGATTTGGAGTTTAGGGAGATGAACACTTTGAGAACGTATCTATTTTTATTTTTCATAAACAAATCATTTCAACCTTATTTCACCTAAGTCAAACTTAGTTTGACTAAATTAATGTAACTATGAACCTCAACTATTGGCCTTGGAATCTCTATAGGTTGAAGTTTCCTTTCCTGGTCTGGGAGATAGGAGGTCCCAGTTCTGGTCCCAGCTCTGTCACAAAACAGCTGTGTGCCTTTAGGCAAGGCACTTAAGCTCTCTGAGCCTCACTATTTGCTTCTGTAAAAACAGGCTTTGGTTCAGATGCTACCTGAGAACTTTTCACTGCTCTGCTTCTAGGATTTGGTCCATTTGATCATATGCATAAGTAGTTATATAGTATAATAAAACCCAACCAAACACGCTTCTGGGAGCTTGGCAAAGCCTCCTTCCTGAGGGGCCCGGGGTCTCAGCACCCCCTGCCAGAGGACAGAGCTGTCGTGGCTATTGCCCAGCACCTACTTCAGTCCCAGAGTCCATCTCCTGGGGGTGGGTGGAGACGCGCCCCAGGCCCTCAGTGGGGGTCCCCGCAGGGGAATGGCTCTGCTGCACCAGGTCCGGGAGGTTGATGTGGCCGGTGAAGCCATTGCTGTCACTGTGGCCAGATCGCTTCTTCTCTCCAGACGTCTGAGGGGGCACAACACATGGCGGCCGTTAGAGAGGGAAGGCAAAGGCCACAGAGCAATGTCACCCCTCACACAGCACAGCTGCGGTGGCCTGCAAACCGTCCCACTGGGGAGTGGGAAGATATTCAGATTTCTATTTTATCTAAGAAAATAAGAAAAAAGTTAAGCTTTGCTAATATTTAGTACATGGATTGACGCTGGGGCCTTATGCTCCTGCATGAAGGGCAGTCAGGGGTCACATACGATGAAGAGGTGCCCTGTGGGAAGACAGGAATGCTGTGGGTGGAGGGGCACTACAGGGGCCGTGCATTGTGTGCGGGTGTGCTGTGCACGCACACCAGGTCACATCACCAGGTTACAAAGACACAAACCCACAAAACAGAAACATCACCTAAAATATCGCTGAAAAGCAGCAGTAGGATGAGATGTAACACTTATAATTCACGCCCAGTGTACTGCAAGAAAATGCAGAGATGATTCCCAACTCACAGGGCTCTTTGTCAGTCACGAGGTCAAACCAATGACTGACTAATCATACCTGATGAGAGTTACAAAGAAAACATGGGAATAATCTAAAGATGATTTGAAAATATGGGTTTACATTCACTATCACTAATGTTGAATCTCTCGGTAAGCAACTATGGTGGCTTGTGCCAGGAGCTGGTAAAAAAAAAAAAAATGAAGTTATCATGGCTGGCAAAGGATCTGAAATATTGTTTATAGCATCCGTTTTCCCCCCCACGAATATTATCTCATTTATTAATTGTGGCTCAGAGACGTTAAATAAGCAGTCTAAGATCACACAGCCCAAGATGGTGAAGGCAGCAGAGCCCGGGAGTGTGCCTGCTTTGGCTGGACGCCACTGCCTGCTCCAGAAGCTCGAGTGGGCAAGCGGGGGCAGGAACCCAGTCCTCAGGCCCCCGTGGCCCTTCCTCCAGAGCCATCCAGGCCCTTGAGGAATCTGTGCCCTGGGCAAAGCCTTCCTCTGAGGTTTGGGAGTGAGGGAGAGGCTCTGGGCCACTCAGTCAGCTGGGTCAGCCCTCCTCTAGGGGCCAATCCCTCCCCCCTCGGGTCGGGTCCTCGCACCCATCCCCAGAGCCCACCTCTCCCCTCCCTTCCCCTTCCAGGATCTCCTCCAGGCGGCTACCAGAGTCAGCATCAACCGAGCTGTGGAGGGCAGCCTGTAGCATTCCTTTTTAATGTCCTTTAAAGGTATTTTATAAAGTGTACAATGTTAGTGCAGCAGGACAAATGCATAATTTGTAAACAAATAAATACACTGTGTTACGTGGCAGTCCCTGAAATTCTTACTGATAAGGTTGCATGACCTAACACGTTGGAAATCATTGCCGTGGAGAGCACAGCCTCCTCTCGAAGATGCTAGGGACGACATACAGAATTAAAAGAAAATCCTGCTCCTAAAAAGCCAGTGCCCATACTGTAGTCCTGGCTAGTACTGCACTTTCTGATTTCACATTTATATGACTGGCTCACTAAGGTTTCTTACAGCAGACCTGATTAAGTAATGATTCCCTCTTTGTCTTTTCTCTTTTTCATTCATTTGCCCAACATTTCCGAGTGTCTACTAAGTGTGAAGCATTTTGCTGAACATGAAGGAATCAATCAGAAGCAACGCAGACACACTCCCTGCCTTGTTTGGGGCTGGCATGGCAAGGGTTCGTGCTGTTTCTCTGACCACCTCACTGGCCTGGCTTCTTCCTTCCGGAGCCTGTCCTGGTCTTGCAGTTACAGCTCTGCACCTGCCTCTGGCTGGAAGTGAAAGGAGGCACTTTTGGGGGAAAGATGAAACAGACTCCCAAGTTCCTGAGGGGGTGCACGTAACTGATGTTACTAGGAAGCTTGAGAAATAACTGGATAGCCTTAGCGCCCTCTGTGTTTCTGGGCACAATACTTCTGGCCCATGACTGTCCAGGAGAGGGGCGTTTTCTGGACTCATTTTGTCACAGTGCTCATCTGAACATTTCATCTTCTAAATTACATTTGAGGGGTTCAGCCCTAATTTATTGTATTATCCCCTATTTTTTTTTTTTTTTTTTT